ACACACACACACACACACACACACACACACACACACACACACACACACACCAACAGACACACTGTGCGAATTATATAAAGTAGGATTCTAAAATTTAGGTTCTTCCTGTGATTAATCATGACTGGATTACCAGGAGCTTGCATGAGGTCTGGGATTGGCATTGCCTAGGAGTTTTAAAGTTTTTAAATTCAGCTGGTACGTAGTTTTTGGTAAAGCGCCCGAAAAAATCCGAGGTTCCCATGCTCGTATACGGACCTGGCGCTGACACATTCGGGTGGAGAACTCGGCCTGGATGAGGGTTCGAATTTGTCAAATGTAATGTCGCTTTCGGTTCTCCTCCTGTCTCTCCTCTCTACTCCCATATGCTTACAAATATATGCAGTGTGTGCAGTAGCGGTGTTACACCGCAGCACATACTCTGTGCCTTTTCAATAATAAGACGGGGTCATTCAATAATAAAAGTCCAATTAACCAAATATGTAAAAAAAAACAACCTTGAGCGACCCTTTTTCGAGAGTACTGTATCCCTTTTCTCCATGATAATGTCAAGAACTTTGTAATGGTGGATGGGGAAGAAAGCTGAGTTCCACATCATAGGCCAGACATCGCAGTGAGACGTCATGGTGAAAAATCAATCGACATCTCTCATGAACCTGTTCGTCTTTTGCTTTTAGTTGAGAGGTTTTCGGGCAGTGTGAGGGAACCTTGCACCTCCACATTCATTCGAAGATACCAAACCGTGAAATGCCGTGCGCTTATACATATTTGTGTACACATTAAAGAATGCAAACAGAACATGTGAAGCGAGATGCTGAGCGGCCCTAGGCATAACAGAAAGTAATAACGACAGTTTCCTTATGGAAGTGGGAACTGAAAGCTCCCCGTCTATTTAAATTTGAAGTTCAAGAGCAATCATCAAATGTAAGATGACAGCAATGTCCAATTCTATAACAAGGCATGCTATGTGATCAACTGAGTTGCGTTTTGTTAAAGCTGTTTCCTTGATCCTCGTATGGCACTATGTAGGCTGTACTGTATATGAGCACACTTGTTCATATTCTCAGTGTGGTGTAGTGTAGGTGGTGCACATATCGCTCCATGGCCCGGAGACCAAATCGATCGGTATCCGTCAAGGGCCAATAGGCCTACTCATCAGGGGCCTTTGGAATAGGTATCGATCGGTGATCCGAAGGTGAGAGGATCAAAGCACTGACTTATACACCGGCTGGCCTCCCAAACAGAGTTGATCAAAGCCGAAAGATCATCAACTTTTACTTTATTTTTGTGAATTCAGTGAATCTGCAACCTTTCCAAAGCAACGCGAACCTTATGTATGGTCTGCAGCACTGCCCTGACGACTCGGCATCAATTATCAGTGACTGCGGTGACAGTGTGGGTGGTGTGTTTATAGCATTTTTCTTAGACATTCATAGAGAGAAAAGCTAACTGTCGAATGTCAAAAGTCTAACTTAGCACCCCAATAATACTTCAAATCTGAGAATTCCTTCGTATACAAGGCTAACTTGAATCGATATTCCCCATTTTGCATACAAGTGTTAGCACAAGGCGAAATATTGTATCTTCTCATTACAATGAATCCATTCAAAAAGTGGTATATTCAAGAACGCTTTTTCCTCATGTATTCACTTTAGCGATTTTGTGAAGTTTTAGATAATGGGCTAATGTGATTTTCGGATAACTGTTATCTCCTTGCCAGTGCAAATGCATACGCACATAGTAGTTTACCCTTTGGAAACGGCTCCGAATTGAAAACACTCTTCAAGAACGATACGAGCTCATTTCAGGTTCCATGCCTTTACAGTTACGCATTATTGCAATCGAAGGTCTTGGCATTAGAGGAACAAGATGCTTGGAACAGCTTTGTCACCGAACGAATGGAAGCCATTAGGCAATGTGAGCAACTGGCTTCTCCGTTCTGATAATTAGACAGTTTTTAGAATCGTCTGGTATTTTCAGTGGAGATACTGTTTGTTTTTAGACAACAGCTGTGGTGCGATCAACATCGAGTATCCAGAATACATGATGAAAACACCGGCGCTAGCCCCAGGTTATCTTCAAGGAGACGTGGCTCGTTTCGGATGCTATCAGACCCACTGGATCAAGGGCGATAACGAGTACAAATGTCTGTGAAAGTTCATCTCTGAGGAGCTCTAAGTTCTTTTTACCAATCGTCAATTAGGGATTCGCTAAGGCAGGGCTCACGCTGAAGGATAGAAAAGCGTTGGCTTCCGTATCTGTCTTCCAAAGTCGAAGCCTTCAAGAAGCTCGAAAGCAATCAGTTTTCTTATCTCAAAGGCACAGTTCACGATAATTTTATGCATTTATTTCAAGTGAAATAATGGAAGCCGTGGTGCAGAATTGTGTAATGGTGGCGGAGAAAGCGCAAAAATTGCTGAATATATACAGGGTGCGTCATAATTATGGCGACAGCACATGCGCGCACTTTTTGAACCGTTTTTCAAAATCACCAAAATCTCTCCCTATTTTAATGTCGGCCTTACCATACCCAAACTATTTGACCGCTCAAACTTATTACTGCCACAATGGTTAAGCCATCCTGCTACCGCTCTGCTATCATCAAACTTCATTTCCAAGGAGTTTCGGCACGCGAAATCCACCAGCGTCTTGGTGTACATCGCAGTGTCACCCACAGGACCATTAAGCGCTACAGGGAGCTAGGAACTGAAGATGACCGACCCGGAAAAGGAAGGCGTGCCACCCTCTACGCGTACCTTCCTTATAGGCGTACCTTCCTTATATTACCCGCTACCAAGGAAGATACGTGAGAGGATTCGGAGACAGCCATCGCAGTCGGCTCGCAGAATGTCGCGAGAAATAGACATTATTCAAAGGATAAACTGCTCCCTTGGGCTAACTCTCACTTTGGGAACCGCTTGTGGACCCTCCCGCAGATGGAGCCCCCGCTCACAGGTCGACTACCGTGCAACAGTGGTGCAAGGAAAACTTCCCGGATGTAATCGCCTAGTGGCCGGCTTGCTCTCCGAACCTACATTCCCTGAGCTACAGTGTGTCGGCCGTTCTTGAGGCAGAGGCTTGCTCGAAACCTCATCGCTCTGTGGATTCGCTGAAAATAGCCCTTGAGAAGACGCGGAACAAGCTCAGCGTGCGATACTTGCGTGCCACCGTCGATGTTTTCCCCGAGCGTCACAGGGCATGCTTCGAGACCAACGAAGGAATTTTCAAGATCTATTGAATGTTTTTAATTCTGAGGTGAACAATGAACGTTTTTACATTGGAAGATCGCTAAAATTGTAAACGAGTCGCTCGAGACGATTCAAATACCTTGTCGCTATAATTTTGACGCACCCTGTAAAAGGCTTCAAAAAAAGTAACAAGAAAGGGGGTTGCACGATATCGCTGTCCGCAATTGTTTGTGTGTCTCCCACACAAGCGGATTATTAGACGCTTCTAACGCTTCATTTTTAATGGTGAAATCTCGATAAGGCCGTCATAACACGACCACTTTGGGTATGTACGTCGGCCGAGCCGGTTTCAGCATTCACATTGCCGTGTCCAAGCATTTTTTTGGCTTGCCAACGTCCCATGAACTATTTTTGGGGGAAGGATGGAGGCCGCAGATTCATACGAGGGAAAAATCTCCAATTTGTCGTGAACTGTGTCATTAATTGGTACTATTTCTTAATTATCGGGACTCCAATCCATAATCTTCCAACATTACCGTTTTGATTGACTCTCATCTGATGTTGCAGGTGGTATTGTCGTCGACTACAACAATCCGAACTCATATCGCTTTGAGTGGAACAAAGGCTCACAGCCATGGTGCCGTTCTCGAATAAAAGAAAACTATTTCAAATGGATCACTGTAATTTTCAGCATCGTAGCGATAATTTTGGTCAGTTCTTTCAAAAGGGGTCCAATCGGCAGTGTGGTGACTTTGCGCGGATGAAATGGTATAAAGTTCAGGCGATTATGGTTGTATTCCTTGGTTGCTGGTGTGTGAAGCAGAGGAAGATCCAAGAACAACGTCAGTACAACTACCAAACAAACGCTGTAAATTTCCAAAATTCGTCACAGTTACAACGTTTAAGATTAGCGGCTCTTTCTTTACAGGGATACACGAACAAAGGTCGGGTGGCATCCATTGGCTCTCTAGATGATGCTCCTCAATTAACGCAAAGATTCCCAGCTCGGGCTACTCCGACTACTTTGGAACCTGCAAGGTACATACCCTAAAATCTGCTTATTCTTAAAATCGCGGTCGAACAAAGTACGCCAGGGTTCTGATGAATTCTGATCTTTGCACATGAAAACAACGATTTTAAAACACAAGCGTTCTGTTAAAGTATGGATTCCAGCTCCTCATTACCCCGAGGCCTACCGCAACTACAGCACCATCAACCATACTCCATGCTCGTTGTAATTGCGCAATAAAATTCCACAGAGTGCCAAAGTCGCTTGTGACGCATCCCGAACATCTATCGCGTGAAACGGCGTTATCCCTTCTCACAAGCAGAGGCCTGGTTGAGGGCAAGATCTGGCGGGGATAGTTTGATGCGTCTATTCATGCATCGAAACCCACCTCCGCAATGATTGACGTTTAAGCTGTTGTGAATTGTGCAACATAAAGACTCAGTTCACCATTAAATTGGTTTCTGGGACTTCCTACTGGGAAGAATCTGTTGCCTCCGAGTATGCCATCTTTAAAATTGGCTCAGAGAGGACCCATCAAGGACTCAAAGTCGTGGGACGTGTTTTTACGGTATTTGGCTGCACCATTCATATTGTGGCACACATATAAGGATACAGCTAATCGTACGGGTCCCGGCCCACGGCGGAATTGGAGAGCAGTTTTCGTCAGAAGGTGTACTGTAAGTGGCTCTTTGAACAATCGCACACAGAATTCTCTCTGAACACCCCCTTTTTATTCATAAACTCGGTCGACTTTCGGACTTGACGAATTTGAAGAGCCCTTATATTCTCCTAATTCTGCCGATTCTACCGTCTCTTCCTCGATAACGATTTACTATCCTGCACCAACATTTCCATCACCTGACAAAAAAGCCACTTCAAAATTATCATGAGAGGGGGGGTTCTAAAAGGCACGATCCAGGGCAGTGGGTCAATGGGATCCAGGAGAACAGTAAATGGCATCAACAAACAATGAATTTAATAAAATGGTGTCGTCGTGTCTACTTATGTGGTGGCGATGTTAGTGCTTCTCCAGTACAGAAGTAAGTGTGAATGCCCGATAGAACCTTGTCTAAATACGTTCGAATATACGTATATTTAAGGTTATCACCAGTTTCGTCGGCAGCGGAATTGCGTCGACCGCAATCGCAGAATCTCTTTGGATTGAATACAAGTGTGTGAATGAGATCTTGAAGATTACGTGCTCTTTACTTAAACTCGGAAAGCGATTTTCGAGTAATTTTCTGAAGATTGTTGAGCGTTGTGAATCATTGTGAAGTGCTCACTAATTCAGTTTCAGGCTGTAGGATATTTTATTTAAAGTCTGTAACTTATTGTGTTTGTATGCTGCTCTGTGAAATCCCCAGTCTATCATTTTGATTGATCATCTGCTAGTCTTTCTCATGAGAGTTTTTCGCATAATATTAGAATATTTATTGTGATATCATATTGAAAAGTACTGCCCCGCAATTACGAAAAGTCGATAAAGCTGTAGAACCATTGTCATACTGTAGTGAAGTGAATGGCAAAAGGTGCCGATGCGTTTTTTCATCTGCGTTCGAAGTGGCGCTGTGCCTACGCTCCCCAGCGCGAATAATATGGCCGCTGCTTGGACTTCTCGTGAGGCTATGATGGAGAAACGAAAAGGTGATCTGTCAATCCTCCAATAATTGTGACGAGGCTCGTCTGTTAACTGAGTCCTCGATATTTGTTGTTTCCATCAAATTTCAAAACATTTGTTGTTTTTGTCAACAACTTTCAGCCGAGTCTTGCATGTGAGGCTCTAACTTTTAGCCTACTAACGACTGGCTCTTTGAAGTCGTCGTTAGTACTGAGAGGCTTTGTGTTGTAGCCACGATGTTTTCCTACAGAAGTGAGGCAAGAGTATGGTTACTGAGATCAGTTTCCAGCGCTTTGTTGTGGAGCTAAGGAACTAATGGTCTCCTGAATTAATAGAATTAAAAGGATAAGATTCATTGAGTGTTTATTAATCTCGTCTCAGTGATACGCCCTCAGCGTTTGACCTCCATTCAAAATCGTAGTAGCGTATTGAGGCGTATGTGGCCTATACGCGGGACGGAACTTCTCCCCTATTTCCTACGTTCGCTTTGCGACATGCGGCAAGTCTTTTTCGGTGCTAAGTGGGTTGGGGGGGACCACGCGGCGCGGCACCCTGCGCTCTCCAGCGAGATAGTAGTGGGCCTGAGTCTGGGAAGGAATGGCATCTTTCATAGTCCACGACCGGTCGCGCGACCGATCGCGCGACTGGTCGCGCGACCGGTCGTGGACTATGAAAGATGCCAATGGTGAGGTTAAACTGATGTGTTTCGGGATCAGAACAAACAATATGCTTGCACATTATGGATACACTTCTTCTCAGCCGACAAAACCTATTTTTTAAGCAGGGGAGGGGCTTCGGGGGCGGGTGAGATGGTTGTCCCGTGCAAGAAGCTGAGATGAGTTAAAAGTTGAACGTCCAATTGGCTCACCCACCCCGGAGCCCCCCCGCCCCCTTCCTGAAATTAGGTGAAAAATAGGTGCTAAGTGGGTTGGGGGGGGGACCACGCGGCGCGGCACCCTGCGCTCTCCAGCGNCCCCCCCCAACCCACTTAGCACCTCTTTTTCGTTGTCCCGTGGCTTAAAACTCCAATTACCGTACTCAACTCGCCTCCCAGCCAATCGATATGACATCATATTTCCTTTGACTGCCTTTCTTTTTTGATTAAACTTGATTGTTTTATTTTTGTTTCTTTTTCGTTTTTACGTATATTAGACTTGATTGTTTGAGATGACTCCTATATTATCGAGACAAGACCGCATTGGGGTTGAGGGAGCAAACGCAAATAATTAAAGGACTCCTTAACTCACAGATTGCGTGCTCCAATCTTCCATCGCATTTCTACTATACGCGACGGGTGCGGCGAGCGCGACGCAGTGTTCGGGGAGAAGATCCGGACGTGGCCTTCGGTGGCCATACGATGTAATGAAGTCAGTGCTTCTATCCTACCAGGCAAGTCTGGTACCAATTATTAGACCCGGCGGGATGGAAGCCTTGGTTGGCCTAGGCGGATATCGACCCAATATTCTAACCCGTGAACATGCACGCGTCATTATGCGTCACTTGTCGCTGGCATTACACCATGAGGTGATACGGGGAACTCCAAGCACTACCTACTGAGAAATTCTAAATTAAAAAAAAACTTCTGCGACACTCTTCGAAGCCATTCGAGTCCCGTCCGAGACTGAAGTTATGTCCATAAATCGTCATCCTTGTGAGACTCTTCGAAGCGGTCTTCCGCCCCTAACTAAATGCGGGTTCGGCTGATACAATAATCTCTATAGATCTGTTGCTGAACACATGGTTTCAAACGAGATTGCTGGCATTAACTTGGTTTTTCAAAGCAACAGGTTTACTCGGCAGGAGCATTTATTTCACAAAAGGTCCCCAATGTTCTTGATACTTCTTAGCATCTGATTATGCATGCGGTATTCCGTGACTCACCGTGATGCCGGTCAGCACGACATGCAGCTGCCGTTGCGCCACGAACACCTGCACTAGAAAACGCGCCATCAATATTGCCGCTGCTTTGTTTTGGAGAATGATAGTTCAAATAAACGCATTAAAACGCCGAAAACGCCTGATTAGCAAAACCGAAATCGAGCCACTGGCTGAGAACTATGGAAGAGTATTCTAAACGTAGGAGAGTATTCTAAACGTTAGAGTATCCGATATATTTACATAATTTTCTTAAGAAAATTGCTTTGTTGAACGGAAAGGGCGCATACCTTTCGTCCATGGAGTTCGTGATGTCTTCTGAAGTCTTCTCTGTAAAAAGAATATTTCAACAGATGTTCAGTAGATCATATCCATGAATTCATCGATGATCTCCGTGATTCGATTGGCGTTGTCGATCGGTTTGCCACAAGATTATTCGCGACGAGTTTCAAATAGACTAAGTCAAAATGGAGTGCCCTATCATTATTTGATTACCATTTTCCCTAATCATTAGGAGGACTAGGTTTCCCTTCGGCTTAATGCTTCTGACAAACCATAATAACTAAAGGCATCGACTGCATTTTCCCATATTTCTGTTTGCGAGGATCCCGTTTTTTTTCTGCTGTTAACCTATTGATTACAAAGTTCTTGTTTCTATTAAAGACGCTTTCTCTGGGATGTGGTGGTTTTTCCAAATTTTCGAAATATGTACATTTCAGTAGTAGAAGTTTATAAATCCTACGAATGATTGCAACCGTGATCGTTTCACAAAAACAGACGCCATCCAAATAGAAAGGTGAGAGTTCTTCCATATTTCTTTTTTTCTCTGTTTTTTTTACGAAGTGCAGCGTATGATAAGTTGGAGTATTTCCATAAACTACAAATGTTTACCTAGAGGAAACCCTGCTAGTGCTTTCTGTTTTTAAGGTTTAATTAGGGTGGTGGAAATATTCAGTGAGGTAAGTTTTTCATTACCACGTATGTAGTCGTTTCGCTTTGTCTTTCTATTTCTTGGAAAAATTAAAGGGTTGCTGTGATAAATATTAGATAATCGATTTTCATTATGTACAAAAGCAATCAATCAATACAACATTCGGTAATATATTATCAACGAACTCGGTTGTAGAAACCACTGATAGCGGACAGAACAGGATAGCTATCTGGGTCCGTGCATAGTAACAGATAGGATATAGCCTTAGTTGGCAAACAGGAAAGAGACAAGCTACGATACATCAACAGGAACCAAGGAAAGAACGACGAAAATCAGTAAAATCAATCGATACCCATGAGTCACGACCACGACGACTAGGCATGATGTGTATGTGTGTGTTGCATGATCTCAGAGCGGAAAAGCTGTTCAACGCTGTAGGCGAAGGAGGCCTAATTCATATAATAGATATTCATGGGAGTAATGCTACAGAATATTAGGGATAATATAAGAAGGGAGCGAACGAGTCGAGTCCAACGGAAAGCTGAAGCGCCCTGAGTCGATGAAAATGTTCCAACGGAAAACAACTGAGACAAATGACGATGAAAAAAGTCCTGAAAGGATTTTTGAACTTTCTTCTATGAGGAGAAGTTCATTTCGAAGATCTCGAACGGAATTACTCAAGCACTTACCAGTGTGTTTGCCGTAATATGATTCTCAATAACACTCCTATTCACGGAGGCACGTAACTCGGAGGCATCCTCTGGTTTGGAGCGGGAACAGCCGATCCCAATCGCGGAGACGCAGCAGCCAACGGTGGTGGTGGCTTATACAGAGGATTTTCGTGCTGCGACACCTACAATGCCCTCAAAACGCCCTTCAAAGTTCAAGTGGAATGATTTTGTACAGTTGCTACCTTAAGAGGGGGTCGCTCCTCCTTGGTAAGCATGGGCGTGGCTGCATGGGCCATTTCAACATCTTCAGCCACTTCTTCTGGAAACACCACTGGCATGCCTTTACCCATGTAGTCGGAGGGTTTTTCCTAGAAAGTCCATGAGCAATTATTTATTCAAATATAAGAAGTTCAACTAACCTTTTTCTTGTTCCTCCTCATCGCACTGCACACGGCTAGTATCAAAATAGCGAGCAGGAGCAGTAAAAGTAGTACTCCAACAAGAACCATCCATGGAAAAGCAACTTGTTCTGTAGCTTCCATAGTTGGTGCAGTGGACACTGGCTCCTAAAAGGTTATATGTGTTGTACAAACTTAAGGAGAAGAGCTAGCACATTTACCACTTCTTTGTTGATACAACTGCCTCGTAGATCGAGACTGGCCTTTCGAACGTGGAACTGAGAGCCGATTTGCTTCACAAATTCGATCTTTGTCTGTGATCGTTGTCGAGTCAGCATCGTAAAGCGGATATTGTCAAGAGCATTGCGAGCACACGTCTGAAACACCGCGGGAGATTATCTTTGAAATAATTCAAGTTGAATGATGTCAGTGAATAGAGCTTTGCTTTACAATACTGCTAAATTGAAACGTAAAGAAGAATTTCTCACCCCTTGAAAAGAGCGTTCCTAAAACAGTTTCACGATCTTTAACGGGTGAAAATCGCGGGCTGGCCAGTTCACTATGATTATTTAACCACTGTTGAAACCATGAATAAATAAAGGTGTGGATACCTTATGGGGAACTGTGTTGTTGCTCCATGAGACCTGCGTTCTCGTCGAGTTTCCGGTGATGTTGCGAATAGTGATCGCATCTGGTTTAGAGCGGAAAGCGTTTGCCAGCTGGTGGACAAACGACGAAAGCGATGACGGTCGTGAGAATCGCTGTACAGGAGTGTCGAGATCGAGAGTGGCGAGGTGATTGAATGGAAAGGAAGCTGTCACTAACGCCTTGAAAGGGGCGGAAGCCATCTGAAAAAAAGAAGTTAATAGGAGGTCTCTTCTGACTTTCTACTCACTCTGAAAGTACACTACCTGTCCAGCTTTATCTCTTGCCTCAAGGCGAAATTCGAAATCGCCTTCTTCCAACGGTACTCCCTTGACCTTTTTGTGTTCGTAGAACATCCACGAGTCCTTCAAACAAATAACATGCGCTTTTCGGTTAAAAGTGTATCAGGTTGAGAAGATTCATTAGCTCTCTTTGAAATTATTATGGTGGTAACGTTTCGATTGGTGGCACTGCGCTATCGGAAGTCCCATTGCGCAATCCACAAACATCGGAAGCGCCGAGGCCAAACTCGCAAGTGCATGCATAGATTTCACGAATCTATCAATAAATCAATAAGTGAACCTTTTCGCCGATCGGTTGCACTGAGAGTCGTAGCTTGAATGTGTCTCCGTCTTCGACGTCTTTGAAGGTGCTTTCCGGGATGGTCATTTCACAGTAAACACCACTGAAATTAAACGAAGTACAAAATGTAATGTTTCTTTTTCGTTTTTATTCGTTATTATTATTATGTCACTCAGGTGGTAATGTAGTTGGAGGGAGAGTGAAGAACCACCACTTTTCCCCACCATACTGTACCTAACGCGAATACGCGATAGAGCGCAAAGAAGGAAGGATAGAATTCACAACCCCATAATGGTCCATAGGCACGTTTCTTAACCGAAAAAAATAGTTTTTTTTTAACCTAAAGGGCAATTGAATGTCCATTTCTTGCTTGACCTCAGCTTTTTACACGAGGAAAACTTCTCAACCACTCTGGTGCTCCTCCCCTCCTGAGGCTTAGGTGAAAGCTATCATATTTTGGCTAAGAACCTTCTCTAAGCAAAAGTGAGGTCAGCTGCCACTCCTTCTTCGCTCAGTGTTTGAGAAGAGCGGTGCTGCCCCACCTTTTAAGCATTTGGTTTGAGCTCTTCGTGTACGGAACTCAAATTCGAAGTTCTCGTCTCAAGGCCTGATATATGCCCTTATTTGTCCTTTTTATTTGTTGGCGCTTGTAACCTTGAAGAAAGGTTTTTTACTGTCTGACCAATGGGTAATGTGTAACATGACGGCCTATGACCACGGAACGAATTCAGGGAAAATGAGGAAGTGCGGCTTAGAAAAGTTCACAGGCCATGGAAGCATGAATCATAAAGAATGTCCACTGTTGCCTTGCTTCGGTCGTATAGGTGGAATGAAGGCAGAGTGCACTCTGAAGGGGAAGTTATATCCTACAAATTACATCACTTTTTTGAAAATTAAAATATCGAGAAGAATTAGTCTGTGAATGATGTATGCCCACTGCCAATTCAGCTCGGAGAAAGTTTCAGTAATCGAAGGATCCACTACTTACTACTATACTACGTATGTTGCCAGTGATTAAAATTACTATTCGATCCTCACGAACGAATGTGTGACATATATGTAAGTAGGTTTCCACTTGTCCGCGTAATTGATTCAAAAATATTTTCGAACCAATCCAATTCCATCCAATAGCCCATTCAAGGGATTCGTGTTCTCATCGGTGGTTTGCTGCCAGAACAATATTACCATGGACTAGTCATAATAAAGCCATGAAATCGGTCGTCGACATGTGTGAAAGTGTTGTAGCGGCGGCATAACTATCTACAACACTAGTCCAATCTCCTGCAACCATCAAACAGCTTCTGGGAATTGATGCCATTAACGACGACATTTAACTTTCCTACCATGCAGCTGTCCAAGGATTGTGATGGGTTTCCGTCGGCTTTTTGATGGCGATTACATCATTGCCTTCTTTGAGACGAACCGCTATCATCCATAGCCATGGAATTCGACGAGGCTATTCAAAGAACTCTTGTGAAAGGAGAAAGCCCTCAGTTCGAAAAACTCTTTCCTTTTTGGAAAGGGGTCAGCATCTATTTTTTCTTCGTTTCTTTCAATATGGCATGACAGTTGAAGGCTAATTCAATCTGCTCGGGATCCGTTTCCCCTAGAGACTTCCCAAGTGTATTCTCCACCTTCTGCACGCTCATTGCCCTCTTGTCCTTCCATTCTTCGTTTGTGTTTCTGAGAAGAAGAAAAGAACTGAGCGCTACCTGTGGTATCTGCCTGTGTAGGGTGTCCATCAAGTAGTAGAAAGGGAGATGTCTCATTTCGTAGCGATTGGCATACGGCCAGAATTATTCATTGCCCCGGACGCCATGTGGCTATGACAACACAAAGATCTGTGCATAATGTGATAGCGCTGTCGAATCGCAGATGAGTCTGGACGCCGGCCTTTTCCCCTCTGCAAAGCAATTTACGCCACGATGATTTTAAACAGAGTTCAGGCAGATCCCTCAAGAGGTTCCTTCAAAAATCGTTAGTCAGTGGTCTGCGCAAACCGTTCCCTAATCTGCGAACGTGACCCGCCCTCCAAAAGAGGACTTTGCATTTCCGCTTAGCCGCAGTCGCAGTGACCGGAGAGGAAAACACGCTTGACCAACAAAGCCACTGCGCCATCACGAAAAAGAAAGACTCTTCGAAATCTTAGTGGCGCAGCATATCGAATTGTCTAAAATTTTATGAGTACCTGTTCTACGACTATTAGAAAAGTCAACTTCCTTAATTTCTGCTAATTTTTGAACGTAAATGATTATACGTAATGGCGTGCTGTACAAGGGAATGATACAAAAGAGACGGTTTTCATCAAAAGGTGATGCACTCTTTGAGTTGCCTTCCTTGTTCAAATTACGCTTTTTTGAATGCATGTGCGACATATAAAACAACTTCTAACTTCTCTAAGACAGCCAATATACAGTACCACTGCTTTTGGCTAATTTTTCAGCTTGCTAATTGTAAAATTTTTTCTTGTTTGTTTGGGTAGGACGAAATGCTCAATTTCTCGATGTGAATCGGACCTGTTTCTTTTGCTTGATCACTGTAGTTCACCTATGTCAAGGATAGCCCTCTTCTATACAGCCGACATATAGGATTAATTTGGAATTGTTGTTTAAATTGAATCAATCCGAAGCATACCGTATGCAGGTGAATCCAGTAAGTGAGTTTAATTTCACCGGCGGATTGTCTACTCTTCGCGTGGAGCGTGAGGTGGTCGATTCGCGGGTGGTGGTGGTAACCTGCAATTAAAGAGAGTTCTAGATTGAACCACAGATGGCTACCTTAAAAAGTGGATGCCGCAAACCTTTGCTGTTGTGGAATCTTTCACAATGACGTCATTGGGTGGTGGATTTACGCGACCATGGGTCAACTGAACAAAGTGCAAATAAACTACACGATCGGTTTTTTTTTGAAATGGGTTCGATAAGGTCAACAGCGGGCAAGCACGAACCACCACATAAATTTCATGTTCAATGTTCTCGACAGCCGTTAGAATCACGTCCATTTCATCAGTAGCCGTATCCAAATTGTCACCGCATGCCACCTTCAATTATCATCGATCATTTATTGATTTATTGTCACAATGACAGTTCATGTCCCTCACCATCTTCAAAATCGCAAATGCTCCTTCAGCGTCGCCACCAATAGAATAAACATTACGAATTGTTCGTGAGTAATTATATGAGTACACCTAGACGAAAGAAAATGCTATCAACCGTTTTAATGGAAAAATCGGTAAAAGTTCAGTGGCGTGTATCGAAAGTCTGCCAGCAGTACCTGGAGCTCGTTGACATTCACCTTCAATGCTTCTGCGATATCAAACGCTGCGTTAAGACGATGTTCGACCTTAATAGTAGCGGTTTCCTTTGATATGTCACAGGTCACCAATGAGTGAAACGGGCATATAATTAGAATACTCGAAACTAATGGGCTGTTCGGATGGGTTATGAAGTTCGGTGGGTACTTTTCTTGGATTACTGGACACATTTTTTGGAGATTATGACAGTTTTCTAATCGAAATTCGGAATGAGGTCTCTGAGATCTGGGAAGAAGAAGCGCTTTTTTAATTGAAAACAATGAACTAGAGAGTTTGAGAAGTAGTTCGCAGAATCTGTGCTAACACATAGTAACCCCCAAAATAGGGGTATCTCTGGAAGGAATAAATTCAGAGTAGAAAAAACAGATTATCTTACAGGCCCGTCGTTTTCAAAGAGTGCCTCCACCCAGTAAGTGTCATCGCTTCCACACGGATTTCGATGATCCTCTTTTACGACCAGTTCCAACACTTTCTCTTCATCTGATTGAGAGAAAATCTAAAATGATGGGTGAGTTCAATAGCAGCAGAATTGCAGAGGTGTTCTGATTCATTTAATTTCTAGATTACCTTGACCATATGTTTTCCAACGTCTCGCTCGCTTGGTATTCCTTCTAATATCCCGTCTTTGAACAACAACCACGATGGTAGTTTTCCGTCACTGTCAATGCCGGAAATTTTGTCCTGAACTCAGTCAGGTAGGTGATGAAGACTTTTCTAACTGTGTGTAAAGAAATCCCGAGAGCACATTCAAATAGATCAAATGAACCCGAAGCGTGCCTTTACTACTAGCTGATAGTGTAAGTTGTCTGCAAGTCGATAAACACATTCACAGACGCATATGTACACAAACCTTTTGCGATAGCTGCTTTTGGTAGACCTGTCCCACATAGATCACCTCCTGACTAACCACCGATGTGACACTAAGTACCGGTAATAGTAAGAGCACCCACATGGCTGAAACATCATTTTGAGTAGGTAACGGGTGAATGGATAGATGTCGAATATATTAAACAAAAAGGAAAAGTGGGAGTAATGGGACTGTAGGAAAGGAGAGAAGAAATTTCAACAGTATCCTATCACCATCTTCTGCCATCGAAACTGATTCTCTTTGATTTCCGAAGAGAATCAGTTTCGATGGCAGAAGTTGGTGATCGACGCTAAACATCTGCTTCTTTATGACCCCTTCAAATGCAGCGCATGCCTTTCCGGATTGTGACGCATGTCAGATCGCACTAGTCATAATGTACCCAATAGAGCCGCTGCTGAATGATCAATAGAAAGCATTCAAATGCTCTAATGCGGGGTCGGCAACATATTGCTTAGGAATTGGCAACAGACTGCCCATATGAGGTGTGTGGGGAAGACACGGCCGCCGTTGACCTCCGGCCTTATGGCCAACGCCGAAAAGGACGTGACTGAGGATGAAACAGGTGGTATTTGAGCGGCAGAAAGTCTGAAACGGCTGCTGCGGTCGTCAGCATGGCGTTCAGGGTCTCCATTTCGGCAAGCTATACATGGCTGCGTTACCCGCACAAAGGTCATGGAAAGGGAAAATCTCCTATAAGAAGCTGTTTGGTGGGTTGATGTTGCACGTAGAAAGTGAAAGCCAGTTTAAGCAAACATGACATGGATATGACTTCGAAACCGATGATTTCTGTATTTGTTGTCGGGATTTATCAGTCACTTTGTTAAGTCATAGATAATAGTTGATTATCGTAATTTGAGCGCTAGTCGATAATCCTATCTGGGCTGCCAGTCACATTGTCTTCAAACTTAATTCATTTATGCTGGAGCAAAAAGTTTGGTCAGGAAAGTTTTATGACCTCCTAAACCAAAGTCAGGTGTGGCGAACCCTGAAGATTACATTCCTTAATGAACAACTGCTTCAATCCACAGGTAACAGCGTTAATTCAACTTTCACGGCCTTCCCTCTGCAATCAATGGAGATAGCGTGGTAAAAGGGAAAGGAGGAACTGCTAAGAAACATTTAGGTGAGGCTCGATCTAAGATAGCCTCTGAGATCTAAAATGGTCACATGCGACTAATTATTTCGAATTTTCCTCCTATCACAAGCACAACCGAAATCAAATAGGGATACGCCTTTTTGAACACCGCTCAGTTGGTTCGGTGATTTCTCTGGCAAGAACAGAGCAGCCTAATTGCTTTTGGCGAGCAAGGGGAATGGGGGAGGAGGAGAACAGAGCGGAAGGCGGAACCAGAATAAATTATAAGATTAAATGCAATACTATGCAAATAGTTAGCGGTTGACTAAAAAGAAACGACGGACGATTGAACTTTTTTTATGGAATTCGATTTTCGGAGAACTTCAAAGTACAAGACTGATAGTGAAAGCAAGCTCGAGTGAGAGGTCAATCTTCTAACAAGAAATCAAGATATTATTGCTGTGCGGTAAGGCTAAAATACCGTAACAAATGAATTCAACGAATTGTTGGCAGAATTGTCATGGCAGAACTGTCACCAAAACTTTCCCTTTGTGGGCTGTGTGCCAGGGGTGCGAACAGCAGAGGGAGAGATTAAAGCAGAGTGCGACGAAACCGGTTGAAGTGAGGCCGTCGAACTCGGCCATAGTCGGAGGACTTATCTAGTAGGGTTTGAATTTGAATGAATGTTCTCTCGGAGCGCTTATTGTCATGAACGAATACGATGGAAACTTTTATTGCTTCGCAATCGGTATATTCCACGTAAGAACCTCTTGAGGCATTGAGCGCAAGTATACAAAAGCAATCATCACAGTCCTGATATGTAATTGGTGAAAGCGAGGCTGGAAGCTTACAAAAAGGCTCAAGTAGGCATGCTGATTTCAAAGGATAGACTTGATCACGGGAGAACTTCTGTGTTGTCTCTTATATTTTGCGTCGTTACGATTTTATTGAGCGGACCTGATTGCAAACAAACCCAAGTGATGACCGAAATTTTCCCTCCTTACTGTTACGCATAAGGAAATAGAGATGGGAGGTTCAGAGAGGACTTAATAAGTGACACCCAGTGGTGCAATGAACTGTAGGTACTGGTGTTCATAAGGGTCATCGGTGTGTATTACGATATAATTGCTATAATTTGCATGCGCCGTGTGCGTCCGCGCAGACCTTACGACCTTCCCCCTCACACAACGAACGATTCACTATGGTACGAAGTGAGGGCAACGGTCGGCCGCACGACTTTAAAGGGCTTTTTGAGTGATACTGTATTCGAGGTTGGTTACCCGTGAAATCAATCACTTAGAGTATGAGTCCCGCTCTTTGGAAAGGTTATCGTCATATGCTACAGTACCGCCGAAGGGAGAGAGGATAGTAGGCGAGCTCCGTAGTGAGAGAAATTTCCGGGCGAGGTATGTACGGAATTAACTGTACGGAGATGATGTTATTCCATCGAAATTAAGCGCATCAGGTTTGTCGTTCACAATGCAATCTCCTATTCCACAAGTGGCGAGTAAGTAGAGAAGTGGCTTGAGAACTTGCTTGCAGTACTTTTCGTCTCCCAAGATAGCTTTTTAGGAGTCTCCTGTCGCTCAAGAAAAGTGCCAGCGCCGTTCTTCCGAAGGCTTGCATCCTTCGACTTTTTGTCTGGGAAAGGGAATGGGATTCCGACAAATGTTACGGACCCGCTTCGAGTTCGGATATAGCTGTAAAGTAGAACTTACTCACAAGCAGCGAGTAAGCGATGTGGAACCTCACATATCATCAGAAAAACCTAATGCAAGACTCACTCTTACCTCTTCTTTTTCGCCGACTCCCTTCTATGCGGTCGATAGGATTGTCATGAAAGCATTCTTGTTGTGTTACATCCAAATTTACATAAATAGGGCTTTGATGTTATTGGCTTCTTCATATCATCCGAAGCGACAACCAAAGATGGCTGGATGGCCGAATACAAAATTTGGACCGGTTTCGTAACCCATAATAGCCGTTTTCGTGTGGTCGCAAACCACATATCGCGACATAGTGAAGCTTTTGATTTTCTGCTCCCGAATGTTGAGGCGAATATCGCTAGCTAGGCTATTACGCTGGTCTTTCAGCCCACAACCAGGTAGGAGATATGCTTAATGATGCCATCCTACCTATCGGTTCGTGTATGTCCATATAAATTACTCATGGTTACGGCCGTCCAAACTTGGTCGTTGGGCACGAAAAACGTCAACTACTCAGTTGTCGAGTCCTTGATACCTGTCATAAACTGTGTGAAATATAATCCGCTCAGTAGCAACCATTGGCAAAAAGAGAGCGGACTGCCGGATATCACATAGGAACCATTTGAATCAGCAAAAATGAAACTATCTCTAAAGGAGCACCTCGGGGAAAAGAACGCTATCGCATGTCTGCAGTGGCTCCCTCATTGAAACTTTATGCCAGTCGGATATACTGAGAAAAAGAGTCTAAATGAGACAAGGAACAAATCTGACGTGGTGAATTTAATTTCATTCTGTGGGCGCAGCAATAAAGACGCTATAATAAGATTTACGGCTGAATTATATGCCAGAATACTCTGAAGAGCAAAGCCGAGGGCTAGTCGAGCAATACTACATATACACTGCCCTGGAGTATGGGCGTGGTGAGCAGGAATATGTTGTGTAATCGCGATTCGAATGGCAAGGTTTTCCCAGAATGTACATACTAGTTGGTTTCAAAAATAGATCAACGGGACGTGGATGTCGACATATTCTGCCGACTGAATTTGGTTGGTCCGTTTATACTGATGAGGTAGAATAATAAATGAAAAAGGGTATACCAGTTCACATGAAATGCACCTTACAATCAAATTCTACCTGAGGCAGTAGGAACTGCTCGACGGGGCCTATACAACACTCCTAGACAAGATTATGATTATATTTATCCTATTCCCGTATAAATGGCATGCCTGTTTTTCAAGTTCATTTCACTAAGAATGCATAGTGCTCCTGACACAGTCAAGTTCCATATTTACTTCTAATCTTACGTATGTTTCGGTATACAACAATGCTTTTAAATTCATTATCAGTGCTGCTACGAGTTAATTCAGCCATGCTTTCTAGCCACAATTACGAATATGTATATATAATTATGGTAAAACCTGTTCTCAAACCTAAGCAAACAGGTTACTTACGTTGCAGGGAGTTGTCGTAAAATTACCCCGCAAAGTGCACTCGTAGTTGAGTTTAAAAAGGTAAAGAGGCTCTTGTAGACGGCTGAAAAGGCGAATAAAAAATAGGCTGGTAAGCAAGCGTTGAGTTGCAGATTCACCACAATGGTGGATGGCTGTGAATGATGAACTTCTTGATGACAGAGGTCTGATTAATGAGATTCGAGAGGTTTACCTTCTGTGATAAAGGAATAACGGAATTCAGAGTGAAATTTTGAACGGATTCTTCAACAATGTCGTGTACCTCATTCCGTATCCATCTCAGTCTATCTTAAATAGAGGCGTGAGCCCAAATAGAGGCGAGAGAACTGAAGGAAAAGAACCTTTCCTGCTTCTTTGCAAGAATATATGCAGAGAGAAGTTTTACAGCTAAAGCCAGCTACAAGCGATTGATGTGCCCAAGAAGCATCTTTATTTGAAGAAACCGTCATGCATGGTGGGAATCGATACGAGGCCAGTAAGCAAACAGTAATTGGTGGTTGTTGCGTTGCGTGTGTGTGTGTGTGAGACCATCAGCTCATACGCCACGATGGACGAACGACGACGTAGAGTAGTGTAAAATATGCTAATTAGGCTGCTACTAGCCACGCCCACCGGGATTGTCGCCACCACAGCTTATGGACGAAATAGCGGGAATGCCTGTGGGAATACCTTCAGGATAATCGAAGTGCAAGGTGGTTGACATGTGCATCCCATTAAGCGATTACAGGCGGTCCGGATCAAAGCCCGATGATTGACGCCTAATTTCTCGTTAGTTTGAGGCCAAGCTTTGGTGTACACTCTCTACTGAAACAAACGTTATGAAGAATGCGCTGCATG